GTGTGGCAGGCTGAGGGGGCCAGTGGCAGGGGACCTTCCCTGGTTTTGTAAATATCCTCATCCAGGACCGCTCAGGTCACGAGGGTGCCGGACCAGTGAAGTCCAACCTCTACTAGAGGTGACATATTTCAATGAGGATGTAAACCTAAAACTCCAATGGTTTTGCAGGGGATGGGATGTTAGCTCTCAGTGTCCCAGTCCCCTTGGGTTAAATACCAGAGCTAGGAAAAATTCATGGGAAGCGATCAGTGGACTTCTCAGAGGCTTGATTTTGCATGAGATTGCACCCTCTACGTTCTGCTATGATGTCTGGGTTGAAACAAATCCCAAAGCTTAAATGGCAGGCAGAGAAGACAGAGTTGGGACTTGTTTAAGGCTGAAAGCATGTGACACTGCCGGATGGTGTGTGGATCCCACATAAAATGACGAAACCCTCCTCAGCGCCCACAACTCAGCCCCAGACGTACAAAACCTTTGTGAACTTTGTAATGTGGAGTTCAGCCAGTTTACCTGGCCTTGGGGGAAAACAAGCTCTGTTCCCCTAGTCTTTTACTTTAACCCCAGCTAATCTCAAATCCTTACGTCATGTTCCTCCTGGGACCAGCAGCAAGGAGTACGCTTCTTCTTCAGCCCCAGGAGCAGAGGGGAAGGAGTCCTCCTTATGGCTTCCACTCCCCACACCTCAGCCATCTCACCCCAGTACTCCTCATACTTCACCTTGGGCAGCTTTCTGAAAATTTGCTGCTGATATAGGGCAGCTCTCAGGCTCTACGGCCACTTCTGTCCTCTCTCAGCCCACCTATTGATGGTCAACCGAAGAGCCACAGCTGAGAGAGAAATATCCCGTCCCATGGCCCCTTTGGGGCTGCCATAGAATCCATTCCTCATACCCCCGCACACTTCACATTATCGTAACACCATTGAGCGCTTGTCCCCATTGGGCTTGACATCGTGTGAACTGGGCCTGCCCAAAGAGTGCTAAGTGTAAAGCAAAAGACAACAGGTAGACAAATGCAAAGTATAAGGAAACAATGAGTCTACTTCCTGAGACGCTCCACCAGCAGGCCCCTTTCACATGGGATGGTTTCTCCTTCCCCACACCCCGCCGGCCTGGTCTTCCATAAATGAAAAAAGCAGTGCACAGACTCTGCAAAACTACACCGGGATCCGAGTAGAGACAGCCATAGTCAGGCGGTCTGGGGCATACAGAAGTAGTGTTGGCACTAGCAATGTGGCCCTTCCTAACCATACTGGATGTACTAAGATTCCCTCTTAAAAACTGCCTCTCCAACTCCCCTGTTTGCGGTCCCCTGTTCAAGACCTTCTCTCCCAAGTCAGCCCTAACCCCTCATTAAGCACTCAGAGGGAGACAAAAGTCTGAATTAATAACTGGAAATCAAGCTGTGCGGTGCAACATCTCATCCATTACGTCTGCTCATACTAGAGTGTTGTGTTATTGTAAAAGGCAGAAATGGACATTAAAAAGACACGTAGATCTTCATTTTTCACATGTAAACAAAGGCTCTCCCAAAGGAGGTGCTGAGAAAGCGACAGTAGGCGAAGCTGTCAATTGGACAAGCATAAAAGATTTTTTGTGGAGACCTTTTTCAGAGCTTTCCCCTGCTACACTCAAGTGATGGTGAGCAAATGCTTATGGCCTATTGATACCATTGCTTCCTACCACAATTCTCACCAGTCCTAAGTGCTGTATCAAATCCAGATAGGCTAAATTTAAATCTGCCAACTATCAATGGCCAGATTTGGGTAATAAAAGTCCAGGTTTCGATGTTCAATATCATGCTTATCCACAGGAAAATGACTAACCCTTACATGCTGAACACCTCACTTACATATTCAAATATATGTAGGTAATCCAAACCAAGTCTCAAGGCTTCAGGAATTGGCATGTGTTATTCAAAACCCCAGGAGCTGAGTGTAAATACCCAACTCAGTGTAAATACCCAACTATGCCCCCGATAATGGCATAGAAGAAATGATGTAGGATTTAAAATAAGCATAGACAGTGCTAACCAATAAGAATTAACCAATAAAATTGGATAAGTTTTACTTAGAAACAGAATACTAAATAATTGCCTTCATTTACTGCACCACCATCATGACTTAAGTCCAATAATCTCACTAGCATTACAGAGGGAAGGAGATATTAGATCATTCTATTCATTTTCTTGCCAGTACTGAGTTCCTCCCCAACGTAAAATGTCAAGTGCTTTCTACAGTATCGTTTTAGTATTCAACTCCATCACACTTTTGCCACCCTAACTACACTAAAACATCACATTCCACAGCTGTTCACTATCGCTGTAAAAGACTTCAAGGGCATTAATTCTTTGCAAGTATCACTCACCCTTTGCTCTCTTTTTTTTTAAAAAAAGGCTCAGATTTCTGAGCGCACTCTTTTTGTTGTTGGTAACTCTCATTTTATTTCCTGTCCATATTTCTAACTTCAGTAAGTCCCTTTGTGTTATTTCTGTGCTGAACATTTAATATCATCTGCAAATTTCATTCATATGCTGTGTACCCTTTCCTTCCACGTCGCTAATAAAGACCTTTAATGAAAGTGGGCTTAACAATGATCCATCCAAGGGGTGTTTTTCAGAGTGCAATTGCAGGCACAAAACCTTTTCCTATGATGTTTTTTAATCTGCATGTTTTTGCATGTGCTACAGCCACCTACCCAGGCCCTCAGCTTGATGTGCAACTGGACACACAAACCCCCTGATTTCTCATGAGATTAAGAGTTTAACCCACTTATGTGGTTGTTACAAAATAATCCATATGAGGGCAAATGGCAATTTTTGCCTCAGCCCACTACTTTTATGGCAGGCATAAAATGAGTTCCAAGAAAATTAAGAATAATAATGTGAACTGTGAGACAAAGCAAGTTTCCTCACCAAAGTAGAAATTTTATAAATCGTTAAAAAAAAACACACAAGTTCTAAATTTTCTGCTATATCCCCACTATGCTAAGATATTGGCCAGGTCTATCCTAGACTTGGAAGGTTGGGTTAAGGTACGCTACATAAAATACATTGCTGGACTTGACTTACCTTAAGCCAAGTTGACTGCTGTCTTCACAGAGGGAGGCTGATGGGAACAAACGCTCCTCTTGGCTTCCCTTACTCCTTGTGACTGCTAGGAATACTGGGGCCATGCTCTGAGTTTGATTTAGCAGGTCTTAACTAGACCCACTAAATGGAATGCTGGAAGAGCGATCACCGGTGTAGCAAATGAAGATGTGGTTATAGTAGAGTGACAGCTGTAGGAAGCTGGTTGGTGACTTTCTGATCCTGCCTGGCTCTGGTGGAAATCAGAACTACTGGGAACCCATTCTAACTTCTGTCACTGGTATAAGCTCCAGACTGAATCTGGGCACAGAAAATCCTTTTGTTACACTGGGGTGGAGAGTTCCAATGTTCAAGGGAAATTCTCCATTGGCTATCTCTGGCCTTTCTAAAAGCATATGTTGTACAAAACGGGCCCTGAATCACAAATCAGTCCTAGCTCTATTCCTGGGGCAGCACACACCTTACTGAGGGACAGATTGCAAAGTGCCAATCCAGCGCTTAATGATTAGAAAAATATTCCATAAGAAATACTTTGACTTCTAAACCACATACTAGAAAATGTAAATTAATTGAGTTTTGAATCCTGCTTTAGGGTTTATTAACATATATATATGTAGGATTTGTTATAATTTTGAATGCTCGTAAGCAATGGCTGCTTTTCTGAGAAGGAGTTTTTTAACTAGAGGCTGCAATTCAGATAGATAATTCCCATGACATATCCCCCCTGTATCCCATAGCAAATTCATAAGACCATGATGCTTTTCCATTAGAGATCTAACAGATTCTGCCATTCCCAGAATGTACCTTTGGGAACTCTAAACCCAAAATATGAAATTCCCTGTTCAATCAGAATGGCAGGTAAA